TAATAAAATATTTTCATTTGCAAATTTCTAAAATTTTTTCTCAAAATTTTATAATATTTGAAACCTCCGATTTTTTTAAATTTTACGAATCACGAAGTATTGCTTTTTTCTGCAAATTTTCCGTTTTTCTTTTTAATTTTTTTTAAATTTGTAATCTAACAAGATTTTTAATAAAACAAATTCTTTCTCAAAGTATTTTTTTTCGTATAAGAAATACCGTTTTCTCAACTTTAAAAGCTCGCATTTATTTGGATTCATTTCAGTTATTTTAATTTTTAAATACCTGAATACAGAAATTGTTTTTCAGTATTAGTATGAAAAAAAAAATGTTTTATTTCAAAAAATCATGTATATTAAATTTTTCTCTAAATATTTTAAAAATTTAAGTTAGGATATATTTTAAGTGTTTCATTACGTTTTATTAATTTTTTTGTTAATAATAAACTATTAAATTTAAAAACTTTTTTTTTTATTTTTTTTAAATCCWTTATTTGCAGCAACGTTTTTAATAAAACAACTTTTTCTCCTCTTTTTCCCACTTATTATTATAGTTTTTTAAGTTTCTACAATTCTCGTTTACGACCCCTAAACTCCAATTTAATGTTCTAAACAACCGTTAATTTTAAAATAATGCTTTAAATGGGAAAGATTTACGATTCTGGTGGATTATTATTTCTGTTCTTTTTCAAACCGGCTCATTTCGCATCGATTTGACTTTTATTAGTCACATATTTTCTAATTTGGGTAATTTGATGAAAATAAATGACTCAAATAAAAAAATAACCGTTTGAATTAATAATTTCAGACTTCTTTGGTATTTATAATATTCGGTTTAATCCTGTTAAATTGTGCTTCGTGCAACTTTTTAAATCTGTTTTTAACGAGCTTATCACAGACATTTTTATCAATTTGCGTGCGGCCATATGATAGCGGAAATAAGCCCTAACGCATATCATAAAGTGGAGAATATTATTTTAGCTATTTTCGGGTAAATTAAAATGTTTTTATGTGACCACCAAACACAATTAAATAAATTGCGTTGAAATTATTATTTATTTTGGTTGAATTTATTGCGAATTATAAATAAACAACAAATTCCAATCATTAATCTTTTTTTGCGAGTTTTATCACAATTAAATAAATTGAGCTTTTATCCGCTTTCACAACAGAGATTAACTATTGCGTGCAACTCTATTGTCTCGATTTATCGAGTGCTTTTTCAATATCCGCTATTTTATAAATTAAAGTTTCCGAAGCTCATGACAAAGTTTAAGGAAAAATCCTGAAAAGTTTTGTAATTTCGTCAATTGTTAGAAAAACACAAATTGAGATTTTCTGCGTAATTGAACAGTTTAATATTTTTTCGGAGCGAATTGATAACGAATTATTGATTGGACTGAAATTTTACGACACGATATTTCACGAATAGTGATTTATTTTTCAGTTTTTACGACCAGAAATAATCTGAAATCACAAAATTAAATTTTTTCAACCAAGCAATAATAAAAAAAATATTTTGGTTCGTAAAAATCTTGCAAATCTTTCTAAATATTAATAAAAATCTCGTTTTTGGTTTAGCCATGTTATGTTTTGGGCGCTTTTTATTGTTTTCTTTTTGTATTTATGATCAAAACTGCGTTAAAGATCAAAAAGTTTGGTCAAGTTGTCAAAAATTCTTCAAAAGTGTCCCAAAATGTCAAAATAGGTAAAACATTTGTTTCTGGGTGTCTAAATGTACGAAAAGTCGGAATCTTGACAATGAAAATCAAAATTTTGACATTGTATTTAAGAGGTCGGGAAATACGTCGTTCCAACCCTTGGCTGGGAAGTAATTTATGTAGGATTATCAACAATCACATTTTTATATAGCACTGTAATTTTTGTTATTTTTTTTAAAGGTAAATAATTAAAAAAAACGCTTATTGGTTCTATAATTTTTGTTCACCTTATATAAAAAAGTTTGTTTACTAGAGATACAAAAAATAAAGTTAAAAACGTTTTATAATTTCCAAATCATAAAACTTTGACTCAAATTTAAACACAAAAATTGGAATTTTGGAGAAAATTGACTTTGTTTTTATAGTACATAGATAATATTTTATTTTATAAACTGAAATACGTCAAAATACAGAGTGATTTTTAAAACACGTCAAACGCTGTAGAAATTTTGCGCGTCTTTTGATCACAATTTGTAGCCTTTCTTCAAAATTATTGGTTAAAAAATTATAATAATTAAAAAAAAGCAGCAAATAACAAAAGTATTGCCAAAAATCTCGTTTTTGGTTTAGTCATGTGATGTTTTTAGCGCTTTTTTATTGTTTTCTTATTGTATTTATCATCAAAATTGCGTTAAAGATCAGTTTAAAAAGTTTTTGGTAAAGTTGTCGAAAATTCTTCAAAAGTGTCTCTAAACGTCAAAATAGGTAAAAAATTTGTTTCAGTTTTTTTTCGAGCTTGTCTAAATGTACGAAAAGTCGAAATCTTGACTGAAAATCAAAATTTTGACTTTGTATTTAAGAAGTCGGGAAATACGTCGTTCCAACCCTAGGCTGGGAAGTAATTTATGAAGGATTATCAACAATCACGTTTTTATACCACCCTAATTTTTGTTATTTTTTTTTGAAGGTAAATAATTAAAAAAACGCTTATTGGTTCCATAATTTTTGTTTATTTTGTATAAAAAAGTAAAGAATTTGTTTACATACAAGGTGCGCCAGAACTCGCGCCCCAGAGAAAAATAGCATATAAGGTAAGATACCAGGAACATGGAAAAAATGTTAAAAAAATTTTATCTATAAAAATTTCGAAGTTATGAGGGTTTAAAGTTTGTACTTTGACTCTATTTATTTCTATTGGAAAAATAATTTTCAAAGTTTTTTTGCTATAGGCTATTAAAAGAGGAAACAAGGAAGCTGTATTCTAAATTGTAACTCTGTTCAATGTTATTTGTGCCTTTTATTGGCAAAATTTTTGTCCCTTTACTAAATAATTGTAAAAAAACATATACATTATCAGTATCATTAAATAGATATAAAAAAATGTCAAATGTCAAAAAATAAATGTCAAAAATTTTTGACAGATAGAATTTTTTAAACATTTTTTTCATGTTCTTGGTATCTTACCTTACTTGAAAATTTTCTCTGGGGCGCGAGTTATGGCGCACCCTGTATAGACTAAAGATGGAAAAAATAAAGTTAAAAACGTTTTTTAATTCCTAAATCATAAAACTTTGAGTTAAATTTAAACACAAAAATTGGAATTTTGGAGAAAATTGACATTGTTTTTATAGTAGATAATTTTTTATTATATAAAAATGAAATGGCAGTCGCTGTAGAATTTTTATTTACGGCATTATTTCAAAAATTAAAAAACTAAATTAAATGGATTTTAATTTTGTCTCGCGATATCTCACGTGATTTATTTTTCAGTTTTTACGACTAGATTAATTAAAATTCTCTATTTGATAATTAGACTGTCTCAAGCAGTAATCATGATTAAAACGTTAATGAGAAGTGGGAATTCAAATGAATAACACATCAAATAAAGAAATAAAAAGTATAATTAAAAAAATTGCAAAAAATATAAAACTCATTTTATCAAATACTCTTTTCTCTGCTGTTCCAACATGCTTTCCAAATAGGCACATTTCTCTTGCAAGGCTTTGTGATCTCGTGTCAACTCCTCTAAAATTTCATCTTTTCGTGCTATTGAAACTTTGACTCTTGAATAAAGTTGTTGAATTTCATTATCTCTCGAATCTTTGACTTTAATCAACTCTTTTTCTAAACTCTCCATTTCTTGACGTACTTCATTTCGCATCATTTCTTTTATTTCCTCTCTTTCTTGTTGCAACTTCAGAGTTATGCTTCTTGACGACTCGACTTGTTTCTGCAACTGTTCGATTGTTGCCTTCAAATTGACCACCAAATCTTCACTTTCAACCAATTTCTTCTTTAAAGTGTGACACTTTTCTTTCGATTCTCGTTCACTTTCTTCTAAATCAAGGATTTCTTTCTCGTACTTCTCCCTGAGTCGTCTGATTCGATTTTCAGCAGTTTGCTCAAGTTGGGTTTTATTATCACTTGCTTCTTTTTCCAAGCGTTCTATGACTGTTTCAATCTCTCTGTCTCGTTCTCTCCGACACTGCTCCCGTATAACGCTTTCTTTTTCTATCAATTGAGCGGTTTGTTGCTTTTTGTAATTATTCTGCCACGTTTCCATCTCTAAACCGGCCGTTTCTTTGATCAATTTGATCTCATTTGCGTGTCTTCTGATCACAATTTGAAGTCTTTCTTCAAAATCATCCTGCGCTTGCTTGATCGCTTTCTCTTTCTCGCTCAAGACTAAAGCTTCCCGTTGCTCGCATTCAGCAATTCTTGCTTGGTGATCAGCAAGTAATCTTCTTCTTTGTTCTTGAAAACCTTTTTCTTCCGATTCGACAAGCTTCTCGTATCTTTGTCTCATGATTTCGCGTTCGTGGACTAAAGCTTTCTCCCGTTCTTCAACAAGTTGCATTCTGAGCTTCTCACACTGTTCTTGCATTCTTCGCGCTGCTTTAAGCTCAAGATCTTCAATTTCGCGCTTGTGGAGGGAACGCAAATCGGCCAATTCTTGTTGTTGACGCTTTTCCATGCTTTGCAACTCAGGTTCGATGCTTTTCACTGTTAATTCTTTGATTTTCTGGGTTTTGGTGTCGATCCAACGCTCGCGACGGAGCTTTTCACCGGCGGCGGCCATATCTTTGACTTTTTGCAACTCGATGGTGTGTTTGTGGTCCAAAGCTTTCAGGTTGGCTTGGTGGCGATCTTCCATCGTCTTCATTTCAGTTACCAAGTTTTCGCATTTTTCGTTTAGGGATTTTTTATCGGTGATCAATTGATCGATGAATTTCTGGTGACGTTTGATCGTTGTTTCGTAATCTTCCTTCTGAGTCTTCAGTTTTTGTTTGATTGTTTGATCGGTTTTCTTCGTTGTGTGGACGATTTCTTCGCGGAGAGACGACAATTCGGTTTGGAGGACGGTGATTGAAGACGATTTTTCTTTCAATTTTAAAGTAAGATCAATCACGTGATGTGCTAATTCTTCACTGGTGTGAGTGATCAAATCTTCAAATTTTGGGATTGTGTCTAGCTTGATTTTGACTGGTTGTGGTTTAGTGTAAGAGTGGGTTAAGGGCTTGGAGCAACTTCGGTCCACCTCATCCAGAAATGAAACAAGTTCACTGAAAAAAACTCTAATTCTTCGTTTTTAACTGAAGAAATAAATACTTGTAATTGGAAGAAGAATGATAATCATTGTGACGCTTAGGTTTTGACTCGTCAGTTATCGTAATTTGGGGCTCAAAACTTTTGCTTTCTTCTTCTTCTTTATTTTGAGACAATTTTTGGGAAGAAATTTCTGATACGACGTGTTTCATGCTCTCCATCTTCATTTCTAAAACAATGATTTCAAAAAAATGGTAAAAATGTGAAGTTAGGTTACGAGATTTCTTATCTTCTGCTTCTAAAACTTTCAAAATGGAGGCGATATCTTCACAAGTTGGGCTATTGGGTCCCGTATCAATATCATGCTGTGGAAGATCTTGCGAAATATCAACAACATTCAAAGAAACAGATTTTTCCAACTCATTTACATTATTCAAAAAATCCCTAAAAATGGCCTTTCTTTCTTCATTAACCGGTTTTTTGGAAATCCAAGTTTCAACTTCATTTTTCGAACCATCAACGTAATCCGGATCGGATTTAATCGGAGTTGCGATAAATTTAACTTTAGGTTTTGGTTCAGCTTTCGCTTTCTTCTTTGGGCTTTTATCTTCAAGGGTTCGGAAAAAATGGTCAAACTTCTTATCACTTTCATCTTTAAAAAGCTCGTCAATATCAAGGTCACTCAAATTGGGGATTTGCTCATCCAAATTGATAGCAGAATCATCACTTGGAGCCTTTTCTTCGATTTCTTTCTTCTTTTCTAAACTAGATTCGTACTTGAGGGTTAGATAATCGTGAATTGCGTTAACACCCGGATCTTCTTCAGGTTTAGTTTCTAGTTTTTTGGGTAATGGTGGTTTGGTCTCGACTCCAGGAGTCAGAACTACATTTTCTTCAATTTCTTCAATTTTGGTTGAGTTAGGGGAAGAATAGTTTCGCCATGACTTGATTGGTTCAGAGAGAAGATTTTTGAAGAGATCGCTGGAAGATAGCGTTTCATCTGGAATAAAAATGGACAAGAGAGGGTCTAAAGTGTCGTCTTGTGGTACCCCAATACCTGGAATGCTCTCCAAGCTATCAATACTTAACTCCCTTGAATTTAAGTAATTGATTGGAAGATAACCAGCCGAAAAAGGTCTTTTATTTTTGAAATCTGACTCAACTTCGTTCTTAAACAACAATAATTAGTTTTTTTAGAACAAGGGCACAAAAGTGAGTACTTTTAGTGTCAATAAAGGGACTGCTGACACCGGTCGTGAGTAAAACTTGCTCATCATTTTCGAACTTGCAGTATTTAATTTACTCGGGGGTCGAACTTCGAGACTTATCTAAAAAAAAAAAACAATTGGGGGTTGTAAAAACAATTGAAAAAAATTACCTTATCGCCAACTAGTCGTAAAATATCGTTCGATTTTAATTGTTTGGCCGACATGGCGTTAAACGTCAAGCACTCACAACAAACTGTAGTCATGGCAACGGTTCACAGCCGCCTGCCCCACCTGTCTAAAATTTAAAAATCATTTGATTAGGGGAGAGTTGGGAAAAAGAAAAATGTGGGTGCGATAATGAAGCCAAAACCCTTTTGGGGAAATTTATGCACTCGCCGGCGCAATACCGACGCCGGCGTCGCGCGACCGTCAGTTGTTCCGCACGCGGCGTTGTGAGTGCGTCGGGTAGTGCGTCGCGACGCTCGATGTGCGAACTGTGATGACTGTATTACTATTATGAGTGGAAATTGCAAAGTGAGTTGAAAAAAAAATTCTTGAATTTTATTCGAAAACGGATGAAATTTCCCGATTTTGAGTGAATTATGAAAGCACTCTCTTTTCAAGCGGGAAATTAATCGTGGGACTTCCTTGGATCTTTTCAGCTCACAAACATTGTTCTAGAGGAAAAGTGGCGATTTTTCTTCATTTCCTGTGACAAATATGACGAGATATCGCCGCAAAATCAAGCAAATCGCATTTTAATTCGTCACATGGTACTCACGAAAACTAAAAATATACAGTACGGCCCAAAATTATAATAAAAATTAGCGTTAAATATTTAATAAAACCATTTTTTTAAGAATCTAGAAGTCTCTGACGTGAGATAGGGTAAATTCGGGAGAGATGCACTAGTGGGAGTTATAAATTTTGCAACTTTTACACATCAGAATAATTTAATGGATAAAAAATAATGTGTTTTTTATTTATTTTTATTTACTTGTGTATAAGTTGAAAAAAAACATTTGTGGTTTGAATTGAAATATGAAGACTATAATTTTACAGCAGGTTTTGTGGTGAATCGTTTTCGTACTTTTTTGACATTTTATTAAACGTAACAATCTATGCAAGACAATTCTTTTATAAACACCTTGTATAATAATGTACAATAATTTTGAATCAGCCTGTATCAGATTAGTTCTTAAATTTTTATAGATTTTTTTTCAACTATGAAAATAAAACTAAATTTTTCATAATAAAAATTGTTTAAAACAAAAAGATTAAATCAATAATATCGGTTTCAAGTTGCAACAACAATTAAAATTAGAAATTAAATAAGTACGTTTTTAGGTCAAAAACAAGCAAAATCTTTCGAAATAATTGACTTGAAACGATACATTTTTTATCTTAATTTTTTATACATTCTCTGAAAGTTTATTCTATTACTTAAATTAAGAAAAAGGAAATTTCTGGCCCAAAAAAGCCAAATATGTTTGAATTAGCTAAAAATGAAGCTTGTTTTAGAAAATATATTTTTAAGTAAATTTAGCTACAAACGTCACTAAAGTAACCACTTTTATGATTAATTAAGTGTCACAAGTAAAAATTTTAATTTTTCTGAATTGAAATAGAAAGACTATAATTTTACAGCAGGTTTTTAAAATGTGGTCTATCGCTTCCGGACTAAGCCTATCGTAAATATTTTGACATTTTATTAAATGTAACAGTCTATGCAAGACATACGTTTTTGACGTTCGTTCTTTTATAAACACCTTGTATAATAATGTACAATAATTTTGAATCAACTTGTATCAGAATAGTTCTTAAATTTTTTGGAATTTTTTCCAACTATAGAAATAAAACTAGACTTTTTATAATAAAAATTTTTTAAAACAAAAAGATTACATCTATAATATCTGTTTCAAGTTGCAACAAATTAAAATTAAGAATTAAATAAGTACGTTTTTGGGTCTAAAACAAGCAAAATCTTTCGAAATAATTCAGACTTGAAACGACACTTTTTTATCTTAATTTTTTATACTTTCTCTAAAAGTTTATTCTATTAATTCAACTAAAAAAGTAAATTTATTTGCAGACGTCACTAAAGTAGCCACTTTTATGACTATGTCACAAGTAAAAGTTTTAAAATTCTATTTTTGCGCCTCAGCGTTTTTACTTTTGTAAATTGTAGATCATCAGCATTTGAAATCTACACTACTAACTGCACTAATTTAATTAAGAAACACTTTTAAAATTCTCGTTGTTATGCACAGTGTCTTAATTATTTTGTTCATTTTCTTGCTGCTCTTTACTCTCAATCTGAATGCGTTTGCGGATAAAATACTATATGTTATTCAGAGTGAAAGTGAGTTTATGTAGTTCAGCTAAATTATTTTTTGGCAAAATAAACTTTCAGCTTTGCCACCTAATAACATAATATACTATTTTAGTTTAAAATCACGTTAAACCGCTAAAACAATTATTTTCTGGTCTATTTTGATGAATTCTCTAAAAATAAGTAAGTTTCTGGCTCAAAAACAAACAAAATCTTTTTAAAACAGTTTAATTTTATTTCTTTTATTAACACATTTTAATAAAAAAATTAGGTTTTGGTTTTTATAGACTGGCATCGGTTCTAGGAGGGGATTAGAAAATAAACAATGTTGAAAGAACAATTTTTCCGGGTAAATTAAACTCGTTAAAAAGTTGTTTCATAAAAAAACTTAAAGTATCAGAAGCTGTGTTTTGTTTATTTTACTAACAAGTTTACCGTAACATTAGCCGAAGTTCAAGTTTTTTATTTTTTTGTTTGTTTTATACTCGTATTTCAGGCAAACTGGCGTATTTATTTATTATTAAAATTCTGTTTGTTTATCTCAAAAATTATGAGTGAGTTATCGACATTTGAAACTTTCCCATCTCGGCATTTTTCTTAAGCTTCGCTTGACTATCGAGCCTCAAACTTCTTCAGCAACTATAAATTCGTTGCGGTTTTGCTGGAATTACACACACAGCCCCCACAAGCTTATCTCATATGAAATATTAACTCAACTTTAGAAAAACTAGCTTTTGGTCTTGTTCAAACTCGTAATTGAAAAACGATGCTCCAGCCGAGCTAACTAAAAAGAATTGATGCAAGTTTCAAACAGCTATTAGGGGAATTTTCAAGTTAAAAACTGCAATGTCAGTTACAGTACAGAATGGAAACACTGAATCTTTTTCCGATTTTTAAGAGGATTAGAAACTTTGAACGAAATTTGTAGACAAGCTGAAAAGTGTTAATTATCGTTTGTATTTAATGTCCAACAAGAGACAAACAAAACTTTTAATGGAAATCATGGGCGTCGTTTGGGAGGGGGCAAAGTGGGGCATGTAACCTCTAAAACATTTTTTTTGAAGTAATTTTTTCCAATTTGGTTGTGAAAAGCATGTCATTTTTGTTGTCAAATGTGTTTAATTTTATCACTAGTTATACAGGGTGCGCCAGAACTCGCGCCCTAAACAAAAATAAGCTAAGGTATCAGCAACATAAAAAAAATTAAGTTTTTTTGCTACAGTCTATTAGAAGAGCTGTATCCTAAATTTTTGTACCTTTACTAAATAATTATAAAAATTATTCAAGATCATCAGTATCATTAAATAGACATAAAAAATATCAAATGTCAAAATTTTTTGACAGATAGAATTTTTTAAACATTTTTCCCATCTTTTTTCTCTGGCGCATTCTGTATAATATGACATTATTTTATCACTAGTGTTAAAATGGCTAAAAACAACACTATCTTCATAGCAACGTCCCGATCTAGTTTAATTTCGGCAAATTATTAAAATTACAGATTTAAAATTCGAGTTTGTTTCCTATGCTTTTCACAACCAAATTAGAAAAATTCTTGAAACACGATGCAAAATGGCTGTTTTTTTGCATACGATGCATAAATAACTATTTTAATTTACTTTCAAATTAGTAACATTTTTTAACTTTGATGATATTGTCGTAGGCTAAGTCTCCTTCTTCCTATACGAAATAATTTCTTCTCGTAGACGATTTTGGTTCAGAAAAACGAAATTTAAAAACTTTAATTTTCTTATTTTTTTTATTTCTATTGATTATTGTTTTTCTGAATTTTATGTTTTGATTTCCAAGTGTTTTTTAATATTTATTAGTTTATGTTATTTACTGGTTTGTCTTATTTTATGTTATTTGTTATTTTAACTTTTATACAGGCTGTTCCGGCTAAACTCCACATTAGAAGTATTGGAAGTTCTAACATTGATATTTATTTATTTTCGTAAATATATATAAGTAAATACAGGGTGCGCCAGAACTCGCGTCCCAGAAAAAATGGAAAAAATGTTAAAAAAATTTTATCTATAAAAATTTCGATGTTATCAGGGTTTAAAGTTTGTACTTTGACTCTATTTATTTCTATTGGAAAAATAATTTTCAAAGTTTTTTTGCTATAGGCTATTAAAAGAGGAAACAAGGAAGCTGTATTCTAAATTGTAACTCTGTTCAATGTTATTTGTGCCTTTTATTGGCAAAATTTTTGTCCCTTTACTAAATAATTGTAAAAAAACATATACATTATCAGTATCATTAAATAGATATAAAAAAATGTCAAATGTCAAAAAATAAATGTCAAAATTTTTTGACAGCTAGAATTTTTTAAATGTTTTGTCTCTTGGGCGCGAGTTCTGGCGCACCCTGTATATATAACAATATATTGCAGTCGTGTGTTAGTCGCGTTTTATCCACTTAAGAAAATTAAACATTCTAGCGTGGATAAAACGCTACCTAACACACTCTTACAATCAATAACTATAAAATATACAATTATTATTCATACATTTTAGTTTATTAATTTTAATTAATTTACCAATTACTTTATTAGAAAAATGCATTAATAATATAATTGTTTAACTTTTTTCATATTTAACTTTCATTTTACTAATTGTCGTTTTTAATAATAATTAATTACTCACAAACATTTTTCTGTTATTGTTTAATAAATAAATTTTCATGAAATGAATTTTCATGTGGGCTGGAAAATTTCACTTGTTGGGAATATAAATTAGTCGAATCATGGAATCGAGTTGTGCGTCTTGACCAAATTTAGTTAAACTTTTTTTTAATTTTCTGAATCTTTTAGTGCGATGTAAAGTACTAAAAATGTGATCGTTTTTTAAGAATGTTTTTTTTACATTTTTTAGTAGTAACACAAATTTAACAATTTATTAAAGTAAAACTACTAGTTAAAAACATTTTTTTTAATTAAAGATTATTTT